ACTCCGTAACAGATAGACACTCTCCATTAAATGTTGCAGCTCAATAAGACATTGATTGAAGTCGATGAAGTACTTCGTAAATTTATTGAAGAACTAAAGAAAGAGGGTCTTTATTGCTGTATCAACATCGTTATCGTCTCAGATCATGGTATGTTTTTCTCATCAACTTTTACAGTGACTGCTAAACGTTCAGGAATGACTGAGATCAAGCAAAGCGTAGTTATTAAAGATTATTTGGATGTCACTGGAATGTATGCTATACCTGGTACAATAGGACATCTGTTCAAGCACAATTCTAGTAAGTGCTAAGTTTGAGGACTGTCTTCTCAGATATTGCTCTACGAGCATTATTTTTATACGAGTAGTCACAAAATAATTAGAAATAGGAAGCGTTGAAGTAACACGTCCAGCATGCAGCAATTTTCTCTTTCCTCATGACCTACATCACTAGAAGCGTTTTTGAGAAAATCCAGTCTGCTTTCCTTACTGCGGGACAACTCTCCGAGAAAGTTATGAGTGTTTAAACGTCTAAATTTGTCATGCTAATGGCACAAAGCTATCGAGAAGCTGTATAAAAACACCTGAAAGTAGTGACAAGGAAGAACGCAGCCTATGAAGATCCGCATAGATTCGCCCTTCCGTACGAAATCAGCTTGTTGAAGCTATGCTTTATTCAAAGTCATTGATATTAGAAGGATTTCTTTATGAAGCTTGGGCACACTACCTATTAAGATCTTGAGCGGTTGATTGAAAGATGAAATGTTTGCCCTTCTTATGGGAAATGGGAAATCTTCGCGCAATCTTTTCCGAACAAAATTGAGATTTAGCCACGCACCAAAGTCGCATATTTGTGGGTCCAATATTAGTTACATAGAAAAAGACACCTTTAGTGGTGCTTTTGAACAAAACTTACTCAGGTATCGTAGAAGTATGTTCAAGTAGATAGTCTCAGTGGAAAGATGCCTTGTACTCTCATCATATATAATTTGTGCTGAGCCTATTCTCTTATTTACAGCTACCCTAAGATCTCACA